AATACAAGAGTTTTTGCATTTTTAGTTTTTTCATAGCAGTCACCGATTTTTATAAAATAGAGTTTTCCCTTATGGGGACCAGGAAACCGGTCCCCATAATTGAAAGAAAAAAAAACGGATATTTATCACGTTATGGGGACATTATGTCCCCATAAGGATAGGTAAACCCGCTCACACATACACACACACATAGATTTACAAGTTTGATTCCTGCATCTCTCTGACCATTTTTCGTTCTCATAGTGAATGGCTAAACTTACAATAGTAACTGGTAATTGACGGGGCTCTGTATCAGTTATATCTGTGAGAATGTGAACAAATAAACACAGCGTATGTCGCAGTATTCATTTCTGAACTCAAGCGAGGTAAAGTAGTGTACGAACACACTTCCTTCTTCTGCGTTAAAAGACCTTTAGATGTCTTGCATTCCACAATATTCTGCTATATATTGAGATATGTCATGTCAAAGTTGTCCCCTTCTAAGACTGTCACACACTGTCCTTCAGGGTGAGCAGTCAGCAAACGTGTTCAGCCTCCAAGCCGCAGTAAAGGAGTTAGCATGAGACAGAGCCGTCAGCCCACAGATCCTTCCCAGTGACCTTGTCTAAAATTCACGACACGTGTTCAGCACTCTAGCACCTAGAGATAGAGGTTCCTTACCTCCTCAAAGATCTGTGCAGGTTCAGGCACGCAGGAGCCGACACGGCAAAACCAACGACTGGGTCCCGGGGGCGGGCGAGTCCGGTCAGTGAGCCCACGGGCCACCCCCAGCCCCCGTCCCTCTGTACTCAGTGTTGGCAGATGCTCTTACTACAAGAAAGGATGACCATAGAGCTAGACCCTCTCCCACTTATCGGAGGGTTTCTGGAGACTTTCGCCTGTCAGCTCACCGAACCACAAGCTATAACCTATGCTGGCACATAATCACAGACATCTCACATCCCAGCACACCCATGAAATCTATTCAAATCCAGCAGATATCAGGCCCTTATGACACCTTCCACGTCAAGGACTGACCGATGAAATACAGGGCAGCTCCAAATATATATTGGGAGGGTTGGGCTTCGTGAGAATGAATGAACAACAACCTTGATTAGATGGAGCAGGTCAATCGGTAGTTAAAATTGATGGTGGGATCAAAATAGATCAACACAGCAAAGAAGCAAACAGAGCAGTATTGACAGCTCAGTCCTGGTCTGAGCGGCGGGAGAGGAGCCAGCTGGCTGTGTTGTGCTTATTTTTCATGTACTGCAGTGTTTATGTGTCAGACGTGTGACATATTTAATCCGGTGAAATGTTTTCTGTTCTGCAGCAGGCATAAGAAGCAGCTAGACCATGTCCTACCTGTTAATTAATAGAACGGTCTGCTTTTCAGGCTCTAAGTGGACATGATTCTATTGATCCTGGGCTTTGACTGATTCCACTTGGGTTTTCCTAGATGCTTCAGGCAGTCTGATTAGCGCTCCCTAGAGGCAGGCAGGGAAACATACTGCACTGCTGTCTAGCTGGGTGATCACTGGTCAGAGGCGACGTCCTGCATCCATCAGTGACGATCACACACGGCACACAGGACAAAGGCTTAAAAATAACTACAAAAGGACTGACGCTTTTGCAGAACCAAGCACCTGCAGCCTGACTGATTGCTTACTCTGTCTTACAGTGTGTGCTTCCCGGAATGACCTTCCCATCACCGCCCTGCTCAGTAAATAAATGGGCATTTCAGACTGATTAATGAACACGCAACAGACCACATAAATCCTCCCTCTGGTCGTAAACATCTCGATGTTGTTTCCATTTGGAACAAACATCCTTCACTAATCAAAAACCTAATTGAATTCCCATGACATAATTAATGACAAACAATGGCTTATCTTTAATGTATTGTTTTGTCAAATTATGGTGATAAACGGTGGATGTAAAACGATAAAACCTGTTGCTCTTCAGTATAAATGAGATTTATCTTCTCATATGTTACAGGGAAGCGTGCACATACTTTATTTATGAAGATATATTTGTTTTGTCCAAACAGAGAGTAGCACACCGTGATCCCCAACGATCAGCCTCAGTGGATGTGATGTCTGATGGCTGCTGTAGATTGGTACAGTAGGTGATGTCTGCAGATGGTTCTTCTTGTCCCTCAGCTGATATACCCTGAAGGTCCCTGGGGCACCCAACACAGCTACACCCTCCTCTGACTTCCTTAGACAGTGAGGTGCTGCTGCATCCCTGCCTGGGATAGGTTCCAGGCCCCCTAACAACCATAAACAGTTGGAAGATGGATAGATGAATGACTCACCTCAAAATTGCTCCTGGAGATGAAACACATAAGTAACCAAACTCTAATAATAGTACAGAAATTTGGAAAGAAAATTATGCAACTTTATTTAATGATTGCATAGCTCTGCCACCCCCATCTGGATGAGAGGAACAGGGATGGGTGAGTGAAGCAGCGTTATACCACACTTCTCCATTAGATGGCCTCGGTGAGCCATCTGACAGACACCATCATAACTCACCCTCATTTAGCTAGCTGAATACATCAGTCCGTTTTTCTTAACTACTTTGCAGTGAGTCTGGAGCCTGTCCCAGGAAGCACAGGGCACGTCCTGAATTGTGAGCCAGTCCATCCCAGGGCACACACATTCCCACAGGGTGGAGCTGGGAGTCGAGCCCCCACCTTCGAGAGGCAAGAGCACAGCTGCCCACTGATCTCCATCACCTGCTTGTAAGTGCACAGGTGTCCTCCAGCAGGTCACTACATTAAAATTCATCATAAAATAACTGCAACAAAGAGAATATTTAAAAATGCATAATGAATATTTTAGAGCGAGCGGGCAGAGCGTGCTGGCTCCCCCGACACCCCACGCTTCCGCACCCCCATGGCCTGTTCTGGTCCTTTTGCTCTTCTTTGGGTTCTGATGGGTTTCTCTAGCCTTACGTCCCATATTTGCCTACTTTAAATGAAGGGTTAATTAGCCATAAAATATAGAAAATTAAGGGCAAGAACATTTGCTCATGATGTCCTGTTCTGTAAAATATAAATGATGATAATTATCCCCATCTGTAAATAATTAAAATTATAATTTTATGATATGGAATTATTTTATTACTAAGAGGACTGTAATTTAATTGTATCATGACCCGTAGATAAAGGTTGTTGGGTGGCTGTGATTTTCAGTGCTGTTCTTTCAGTCCTTCTCGACGGTAATATATGCATCAATCTGGCATCTTACCTGCCTTTCCGGGAGCTGTGTGCCGCCCCCCCCCCCCCCCCAGCCTGCGTGGCCCGCAGTTCTTTAAACTATTCCTGTGCTCATCTCTGCTCCCGTTTCTGAAAGCAGAAATGCATTTAAGGGCCATTCTCTTCTGAAATGGACACTGTTTTTGAAATAAGCAGAAATTGTATGAAATGAGATGATTACTTACAGGAGCAGAGCTGTAATTTTCATCCCGTGACACTCATGACAGGCGGGAGATTCTTCACTGGTACTCTACATCCCCTCACGTCATCACGCGCAGTGTTTTCTGCATATTCACACTAGTTACCATGCAGCAGAATGGCTTAACCCTTTTCCCCATTGGCCACTCTGTGTGTGGTCACCTCACTCCTTCAGCTTTTGCTCAGGGGCCTGACATATGAGGAAGTCCCCCCAAACCAGAGTTCATTCAGACACACTAAATAACACACACACACACACACACACACATCTATGGGAAGAACCCTAATCCCAAATACGACAACCTCAACCTAACCTAGCCCTAACCTTAACCATAAGTAAACAAACAAAAAAATGACTTTTGCCATCTTTGGTTTTTTGATTACATTCACAGATTTTTTATAAAATTGATGTTTATATTGTGGGGACCTGAAAAATGTCCCCACAAGATAAAAAGTAACATACTTTACCATATTGTGGGGACATATGTTCCCCATAATGTAGTACATACAACCCCCACCCTACACACACACACACACACACACATACACAGCCGGTTGCAGGCACTAATCTCAGCCTATCCATTAAGAAAAGCAGCTCGCTGGTCAGGCCTCGGCCGTCTTGCATAATGTTTACACGGCCCTCATCTGCCATGGGAAACCACCAAGAAAAGTAAATATTATGGTCCTTCTTAAAGCACTGGGGGCAGGCAAGCCCAAGCATTCACTTACGGTCAGGAGTCAGAGGTCAGGTTAGGGCAATGACCACGTTCAGCAATGGGGCTAATATTGATGAAGGTTAGGGCAGCAACCGCGTTCAAGAACCAGAGGGAGGGGGAGGGGAGTGCGCCCAAACATTGAAAGTCATTGAACTGGCTGGGGAGACGCAAATTGTACTGCAATTAGTCAGAGTATGTCTAGGACTCTGAACTATAAATAAAAGGGAGGGAGGGGCAACCCCATACAATCACCCAGTCAGAAAAAAATTAAAAGCAAACAACAGCAGCAGACTGTCATGTGCTTGCTTTGTAGAAAGAGGCCTACCATTCTCAAACCACAAGGCAGAGAGCAAGAGTCTATAAGCCAAAAGCCAGAGTGTAAGAGAGTCTTACAAGGGTGCTTTAACAAGGGTGATTTAGATAAAGTCTATAAGGCATAAGTTGAAGTTCCAGCTTCTTCTGGTTGATTGTGGACCACATCACCCCCCACCTCCCACCCAGGCCCAGGAGTCTGAACTGTGAAATGATTTACATAAAGAGGGTTTTCAGGCTGGAGCTTTGACCACAGACATAGACAGAGGGGTATAATCAGTGCCAGATATACCTGCTGACCTTCCGATGTTAGTCTGCTGCCAAAACTCAGGGAGGAGCTCAGGGGTCTGACTCACAGGACTCCCACTTCTTAGTCAGCAGTTTTATTGATTGATATATTATATTCATGGAAAACTTGTGGTTTAGTAGTTAAAGACCTAGAAAGTACACCAAGACCTGCTGTGTCACCAGCAGCTCATGCCATAGCAGGAGACGCAGGAACTGCGAAATCACTTCTTGCGGCTTGACGTTGAGGTGACTGAGGAATGCAGAGCCCTTCCTCCCCCTTAAACAGTAGGGGGACAGTTCATGGTTTAAAAGGGCTCTTATTGTGAGGGGGAAAAGCAGCCCTTAGGGTTTAAAAGTCTCTGTTTTCAGTGAGATTACAGGCCAGGGCGCTGAGATGTCCCAGAAAGGTGATGGCCCAGCTGTGAGGGATTTCACGCACCTCCAGTTTTCTCCAGGTGTGGTCTCTGTAGCAACTAAACCAGGAGTGAAACACGCAGATACACAAGTGGACGGAGACACACACACACACGCACAGACACGCTCCAAGCTGCAAAGCACAGAAGACTGAGTCATGCCATCATGGCTGACCCAGCTACCATGAGCAGGATGTCAGACAGAAGCCATGCTGTGAGCCGGAACCAGGCTCATCTTCAAGCCACACAGGTCACGACCACATAACCGACATGCAAACGAATGCATTTTATTGGGAATGACCAGCGTGCAAATCCAGCCCTGTGACTCCCAGCACAAACCATACAGGGCTAAGCAGTACCAGAACACTCTCACCCTCCAACATCCCTTTGCAAAACAAATCTCATTCTCTACTTGTTTAATCCCTAACAAAAGCAGCTTTTTAACAGTCATAACCGAATAAAAGCACAGTGTTACCATTCATGTTTGGTAAAATAAACGTTGATTGATCCACAAAGTATCTGTGTTTACAGCCATGTGGGAATCAATGCACCGAGAAAACCGGTCCCACCATATACGGATCCTGGGTGGAACTCAGGCCCGAAATGATAGCATTCTCACATAAAACGGAGGCAGTACTAGTCCTGTTCTTTAAAATCCCCTTTAACACAACCTGAGCTAGGAAAAATTTGTAGTAGCGAGTTGGAAAATTCGAAGTGTGAGTCCGTTTATCATCTGTTTGAAGTTAAGACCAAACTAAGACACATAACATTACAATACAAACGGTTAAAAAAGTATAAAAAACATAAGATGATATCAAAATGCTTGTTCTTCGCATTATCCCAACCCGCAAACTTGACCAGACTTTCCTTCTTTGTGTTTTTTAGGTACCATATTTAGTGCAATAACATTTCCCAGTCAATACGACTTCAAATTAAAACAAAGAAAGGGTCCATTTCTATAGCTGATTGTCTACTTCGTCGACTGCAGGCTGCGGCCCACACTCGTCCGGCTCTGTTCCTAGCTCATCCAGCTGTGTTCCAGCAGGGGGGAGAGCTTCCTGCGACCCGGCGGACTCCTGGGCCCAGGTCTCAGGCTCAGAGGCAGGGACAGGCAGGTAGCCCCCATCCCGGGGCAGACAGAGGCACCAGCCGGCGCCGGACAGGTCCAGCTCGCTGTACTCGAACCCGGCCTTTTTCAGCAAGCGGAAGTCCACCATGTCAGTCGACTCGCTCATCTCCACCAAAAGGTTCCAGAAGAGGCAGCTCAGGATGATACCCAGGAGCTGTGTGCAGGAAAGAGGACAAAACACTGAGGGTCAGCACAGGGGCATCAGATGGGCATCAGATGGGCATCAGAGGGGCATGGATACCTGGCAGATTCAGGGGGCCCAGCACCATAAGGGCCGTTTAATATGCCAAATTATAACATATATGTTTGGAGAACATTATAGATTATACCGTGGGGGACTCCCTCCCCCCCGACCAGAAAATTTTGCACTTTTTGAGGGAGGTGTGTGGATTCAGGGCAGAGTGGGTGTCCTGCCAATGGCTCCTTATTTTACTGAAAAGATAAACACACCTCAGCACAACCCTGCACTGGATAAGTGATCAGGAAGACGGACAGACGGATAAACGTGAGAAGGCATGTCTATTCATTGAGCTCCCCCTCTTTTCCAGCTCTGCAGACACCCAGTGAAACAGGAAAAATAAAATATCCACAATTAACTTACTGAGACTGACAATATGTAGGTCAGCATGGCAGTTGTAGTAATGTGATCATCCTGGGACTCCACTGAGGGCGTGATTAAAAATGGCAGATTTCCAGCGATGAGCAGCAGAACACACTCGCCGCTTGGTGCTTTCAGCAAACGGCCTACTGGGCTCTGATCACATTACTACAAATCGCCTGTCAGCAGCCAAACCGCCTGCAGTTCAGACTGCTCAATCCATCTGAAGCTAAGAAGGGCTGGGTCTGGCCTGTACTTGGATGGGAGACCAACTAGGAAAGCTGGATTGCTGATGGAAGAGGTGCTGGTGTGGCCAACAGGGGGAGCCCATCCTGTTGTCTGTGTGGATCCTGGTGCACTCTGCTGTAAAAATGGGGGTGTCCTTCAGAGAAGAGTAGGGGTGGTACCACTGTGTCCTGGCTAAAGCTGCCCACAATAGCCCTAACAAATCTGGCCTCCTATTCATCCCCTGTATCTAACTGGTGAAGTCTCTCCTGCACCACCTTAACTGCTATGGGTGAGCGTACTGGTGCAGAATGGCTGCCCTTGCATCATCCAGGTGGGTGCTGCACAGTAATGGTGGTTGAAGTGGCTCCCCATTGGTTCTGTAAAGCACTTGAGTGTCTTGAGAATTGCTATACAAGTGCAACATTCATTCTTTGCCGAGAGGGTCTGTCAGCCCTTGGCTGGTACATTCCCAGCCCCTTTTCTCTCCTGGTACCTCCAGTGCGACTAAAATGGCCTCCTCTCCTCTCCATCCTCACCCCTCCCATCCAATGAAAGGTGGCGATTTCCTCACCTCACCCTATGCCCCCCCCCTTCTCTCCTTACCTGCTGGCTTTAGTAAATGAAAAGAACTCACTCTTGGTGGAAATGATTTCTTAATGATCATCCAATTATACCAGGTAACCTGGGGGGGGGATACCTCTGAGATTAAGCACTGTAACCATGGCAGCGTAACCAGGCGATGGGCGTGCGGCTGCGGGTGTTGTCGTGCCAACTGCTAGAAGGAGACGTGGGACTCTGACAGCTGTGCTTTAGGACTGCTGATGGGGGGGGGCTGAATGGGCTCACTAACCTGAGGGAGCCCCACAGCGAAACAGAGTCCCAGGGTGACACCCACGTTGTCCCCCATCCATAAGTTGACGGCGTGGATGCAGCCTCTCACATGTATCACCCCATCGAGCTCCACGCGCTGCGGAGAGAGGGGGAGAGAGAGATGAGCAGAGACATGCGGCGTGCTGGAAGGCAGGATAGGGGGCCGCCCAGGGAAAAAGAGACACTGAGAGAGGGGGAGGGGCCAGGGATGGGTCACATGCTCACTCAAAGCCCCACCACAATGGTCATAAACGATCAAATCGCTACCTGCGCCTTTTCCGTTTCCATGACAACAGTAAAAGCGCTGGATGATGCGCTTAGTGCAAATTGTTGAATCAGTGCCAGAAACAGCTGGATCCACATGATGGATCCTGGAGCTCTGTGCAGTCCTGTATGGTCCATCATTTCGGAGAGATGATCTCTCACACCTCCAGCTCTCTTTGTGTGTAGTGCCTGCTGGGGCCCTTCCGCTATGAAGGGGCCGCCACTGTCATGTTTAATAAGATTTTAACCCCTCCTTTTATCATCCAACTCATCTCAGAAAATAATAGGGGGGCCTGTGAGTGTGTGTTCCGGAATGGACTGCCTTCGTATGCAGGGCACAGCTGCTCCACGCTCCGAGTTTCCTGGGGCAGGATCCAGGCCCGAGATGAACGGCAAAGACGTTGTCTCACTGCTAATCCTCACATCTCAGGCTCCTATATCCACAGAGTAATTTCAAATGAGGCTACAGAAAGATGTCGCTCTGGCTATGTAACCAGCATAACCAGCAAGTGTGAACTGGGGGGGGGGATTGGTCTCCTGGAGAGAGACGTAGGGACCAGGTCAACAGCTGCGAGGGGTGAGTCTGATGAGCTTACCTCTTGGTGTAGGGTTCTGTACCCACACAGTGTGTTGACGACACCCTCTACAACCTGAAAGACGCGCACAGAAAGAGAAAGATGGAAAGGATGGCAGAGCAGCACTGAAAAGCATTCATTAGGTCCATCATTATAAAGAGCTGGACTTCACATCCACAGCCAACGCAAACATCTCAATCTCCACCCAGACCTACAATGAGCCTTATCAGCACATTAAGGACCACTTAAGTCCAGGCCCTCCCACGGCTTAGGGACAGTGAGAGAAAGCTAAAGGGACGGTCCTTTCCTAAGAGTGGGAGGTAATTAAATACTGAGCTCATGAATCCATTTATAGGGCTGATGATTCACCGGCTACACGCCTTTGCCTGGAACACCAGAGGGCACCATGGCTGCCCATGTTTCGGGGATACAGCTCACCTTGTGACGCACGCAGCAGGTGTACGGCACCCCGCAGGCGAGGGGGCCACTGCCATTGCAGTAGTGGTACTGGTTAACCTCCCAGTCTTTGTACTCATCCCCACCGCAGCAGGAGAACTGGGGAGAGGAGGCTCGTCAGTCACACCCCAAGTGTCCCGCACACGGCCCAGCACGCCGCCCTCCCGCCAAGAAGCTTAACAGGATTCCTCACCTCCCCCCACCCAGTCCTCATTTTGTGATTGTGTGAGGACACCTCTAGAGACCCACACAGAGGTTAGTGACACATCTGTCCTCCAGTCACTGACCCTCCCACACATCCCAGGCATCCAATGGGTAAATAAGAGACAGTATAATTAGCTTTGGATTAGAAACATCAAATAAGAAATGAGGAGTAAACAAGTTTGGCTCTAGACAGAACCCTGACAAGGAGAACCTCACTGAATCCCTCATTAGGATAGTCCCAGACACCACACAATCCATTCCTCATATGTATCAGACAGGACCCCAGTCCCAGAGCACAGGCCACACCCACCCACCTTCTCTTGCACGTAGTCCAGGATGTTCTTGAAGTCCAGGTCGTCGTAGTAGTGCTTAATGCCCTCGCGGATGGTGCTATGGAAAAGGCCAGATGTCTGCACAGAGAGAGCGGGACAGTTACAACATTTAACGAGGCCACCCAAGACTGAGTCACTGGCGATCTACAGCAGCGGTGCTCAATGAAGACCTAACCTTTTTCTCACAGATGAGGGCAATGATGAGTGCAAGAGCTTGGAGAGCCAGCAGGACACAGAGCACGCAGAGGAACTGCAGAGGAGAGGTTAAGGGTTATGGTTAGGGTTCGTGACAGGGCACACAGAGGAAGACACAGGAACACACAGACAGACACAGGAACACACACAGACAGACACAGGAACACACACAGACAGATTCAGAAACACAGAAACAGACACAGGAACACACAGACAGATAAAAAAAAAAAAACACACAGGCAGATGCAAGAACAGACAGACACAGAAACACACAGGGACATAGACAGACACAAGAAAAACAAGGAGATACAGGCAGAAACAGTAACCCATAGACACACATAGGAAGACAAGAACACACAGATAGATATAGGAACACACAGGCAGATGCAGAAACACACAGGCAGACGCAGAAACACACAGGCAGACACAGGGACAAACAGGCAGACGCAGGAACAAACAGGCAGACGCAGGAACAAACAGGCAGACGCAGAAACACACAGGCAGATGCAGAAACACACAGGCAGATGCAGAAACACACAGGCAGATGCAGAAACACACAGGCAGACGCAGGAACAAACAGGCAGACGCAGGCAGACACAGGAACACACAAGAAGACACAAGAACACATAGATAGGTTCTTTCTCAATAGCAAGAATGCAAAGAACATACTTGAAGTCTTAGCAAGAGCAGCCTTGCTAACTTGCCTCCCAAGAATGAACTTGGGGCACAATGAATCATGGGATTGTTCTTGTTTGGTGAGATTTTTACTTCTGTTCTTAGCTTTGGAACTGGTCTTGGGACAATGGAAGACGACGTAAAACAGGTGCAGGGCAACACAAGGTTGGTCAATTAAGCATTTCGAGAAACATCTGAATATACAGGAAAAACAGGCAGATACAGGCACAAACAGGCAGACACAGAAACAAACAGGCAGACACAGGAACACACAGGCAGAATGTGAGTCTGTAATTTCATTGGAATTAGCAGAGCTTAACGGCGCACCACCCTACAGAGTTACACAGCACTGTGAAGCTGATACCTGCCCCCTCCCCAGAGTCCTCACCATGTGCAGCAGGATCTTGTTGTCCCGTAGTGATCCCACCATGCCCACCAGCGACACTGTGAACATCACCAGGCCTAGTAAGATCAGCACTACGGCAGGGGCCAGGAATATCCCCTCTAGGGTCCGGTTCTTCTGACGCTCCACCTCTGCATACAGACCCACGCAGAGCACGCACAGGCCCAGGAGCTGCAGGGCAATGGCAGATTAACACAGGGAGAAACAGGGTACATTGATACAGGGTAACACAGGGAGACACAGGATAGATTAACACAGGAAAACACAGGGCGAATTAACACAGGGAAAAACTGACACAAGGACCCAGGAGTTGAGTTAACATTAACACACATGCAGCCTCCCTCACTTGGAAAAAATTATGATGAAATGCCTCCATTAATAATCCTGTCAAAAGGATAATCTATTTACTTTGACTCAAACAAAGCTTGTGACAAAGAAAACAAGTATGACCCTGCAGGGGAACCAATGTGGGGTGCCACTGAAATGTGAATGGATGAAGTTTAACACCTTTCATGATATCTTCACGATAAAGAGGTGTCTGACTTTGGCTGCGGACAGTGGGAGGAATAACACGAAGATCAGTCTCTGCAGTCAAAGCAAAAACCGAACTGAATGTCGGTGTTTGTGGGTTTTGGGTCCCGACTGACAGAGCAGCATGTTTAAGCTTCATTAGTGTGTGAATAACCTTCGACCTCTGACACAGCATCCCAGCACAGCATTGCCTCTCTGACAGGGAGAAAGACACACACAAACAGAATCATATCCCATTCATTATACTTAGAATGACACAGCACTAAAACAGATGTGTCATTACCTCAGACACAGGTTATTCTTACTGAGGAGTGTGTGCAAATCAGAGTAAATCATTCATGGATGCTCATCCTTTCTGGACTGAAGAGTCCAGCAAACCATCAGTCTCTCTGCCCACTTGGAAGGTTGTAACTAAACTTTGCTGGCATTCCGACGTGCACACAGAGAACTCTCTGCATTATTATTCAGCAGCAGCAATTCTTCAGGGAACTCCCCCACCCCCCCGTGCCGTAAGCTCCCCAGCACCCCACTGCATGGACTGATCTCCTGCAAAGTGCTCTGAACTCGATGGACTGCCAGAGTAACCCCACCCACCCATAAGGTCACTTCCTGTCCTATGAATATGACTCTGATCCTGCCACAGCTGGTGGACAAAGCCAGACCGGAATGAGGGAGTATAAAGAATACATTCTGCGAATATGTGACAATCCAGACTGTCCTTGGAAAGTCATTAGTACATTCCAGGAAGTGGATGAACACTGCCTGCCTTCCACTTCCTGTTTGATTACCATTAAAAGACAGACTATCCTCCCTAAAGGAAAAAAAATTTAAAGCTGACATCTGACAGGCAGCTACTGATTCTGGCATTACATTTAGGGGCCACGTCCCCACAGAGAAGAAGCTCTTATTTCTGCCACACTCCTAATACCAGCATCCATCAGGAAACAGGGTAATCTAACAAACAATGTGGCTACAGCTAAAACCAGAAGATGGGGAAACAGGAGAAGGAGGCAGAGCAGCTGCCAGGACCCATGAGCAGCCTCTGAAAACAGTTTGACTGCACACAGCACATCTGAAGGAGATGGACACTGCATTCATACTTCATGGCACTATTTAGAAAGCCTAAGTGAAAAAAGCATGATGCATTTATTTCCACCATTACCACTGTGGGTGGACAAATGATGACAGAGCTGGGGGGGGGGAGGAACGGGGACATGCACGGAGAAGCCGGTGGAGTCAGTGTGGCAACGTGGAGCTTCGAAGCTATTCAGTTTTGTTTCGTTCCTTCAAATCATTTTAAAGCAAAATGTCAAAGCCAGCTTGTGTTAGGCTCTACGCATGAGCCTCAAAACTAACAGCCTCTTCCAGATAATGAAAAGGGGGGAACGGATGAAATAGAAGGAAAGAAAAAGAGAAGAGGAGGATGTAAAATGACTCACTGTTTCTCAGAGGTCACATACGAGAAGGAGCCACAAAGTGGGGAGCGGGAGAGATGGAGGCACAGGGACAGCACAAATTGAACAGTAAAATGGCTGTAATTTCCCGTGAAGTGAAAAGCAGAGATGGGACAGTGCGGGCGAACAGGAGAGACTCATTATTTCTGCTGATTGATTCTGGGACAAAATATTCATCAAAAAACCACACACACAAGAGGAATGGGAGAGATGGGAGCAGTGTAAATTCAGACCAACAAAACAGGCAACAGGAGAGCGAGAGAGCGCCCAGACAACAGCCCAGAGCCAGGACCACTTATTTCAGGGTCCTTCTAAAACAGAGTAGGACTTTCAACCTGCAGAGAGATCCATCCCTTTGTGACACACATGTAAACACACACACACACAGACAGACAGACACACTCACACCTGTTAAGTGTGTTCTCCAGCCCCTGCACTGACAGGCTTAAAAACTGACACATTCCTGATTACCATCTGACAGTTCTACACTTTTAAACCTAGTGTGTTAAAAGGAGCCCCATAACCGATATGCATTAAAAGGAAAAGCCCTGTGGTTTTCACACAAAATATGGCAGAGACCTATGAACACAGGGTGTGTGTGTTCATGTGCAAATGCTTGTAAACATATGTGTGCATGCTGACAATCACAGCTGATGTTCTCACTAAAGATGCCAAACTACCTCTACTAGGGTTGCAAAATTTTGGTAATTTTCCTGCTAATTCCCATATATTCCTATTAATTCCCATGGAAAGTTTCCAACTTTCAAAAATTCCCCAGCTTAACTTCCAATGGAATGGAAAGTTTCTGTAATTTTTCTGCCCCTATGCAACCCTAACCCCTCCGCACACTAAACAGAAGAGACAGTTGTTTCCTAGGGACCCATTTACGGTTGCACCTTGGATGTTTACTACAGTAAGGAAGCCATCACCACTGTGCCAAGACACAGAGCAGAAAGCAAACAGGTGCAGACCAAGAGATCAGTGACACAGCCTGCTGGGGGGGAGCAGGCTCTCTATCCAGACCTTCTTACCTCTCATAACAGTGTCCCCCAGCGCAGAGCCGTGGTCAAGAAGGAGAGGCAAACACTGCATTTTAACCCCCAGGATGTGGTTATGAATGTTTATATCCTGTTCAGTATCTCATTCCATATATACCCGTCCCAACAAAACTTCTGTTTAGAAAATGTGTGAAACATCACAGGTCAGGGGAACACTCATCTCACAAGCATCACTCATCCCTAACAATAATTGCTCCCAGTCTAATGAAGGCACAAAGGCCACCTGGAAATTTAGGGAACTTCATGGTCTCACAAAGCATGTCCCAAACAGAGGAAGATGGAAAACGGAGGATAACCGCAATGCAGCAAGTGGCCCCCAGATCAGTTCTGCTGATTCCATAGTACTGCCAGGCGGCTCATTTATCACAGCCCAGCCACATAATTAAACACTCATTTTGGGGTCTATGAATTTAATGTCTTTACACATCCTAGAATAGGCTGGGGATCACCACAGTTAGCAATGATGGAAAATGCCCCATCCTGTTTAAATGTGCCTAAATGATACACGTCACTGCTGCCACTGGTCCCTTAAAAAAATCACACATTTAACTACTTTTTAAAATAAGTTTCTCGGGTGGATTTTATCAGCAAACTGAAGTCTCCACCTGTAATCTGACCGTGAGTTTCAGGCATTTGACACAGGCGGACAAGTTAACAGGGAGAAAGGAAGTTCGAGAGGGTGACGGGCTGACATCCTGACAGGCAGATAGACAGCAACAGACAATGGGCGAAACAGCCATACTGACACGAGCACTCAGACGGATTAACAAACTGGTGTCCATTTAGGCTTAATGGTACAATAATAATAGTAATAACTACACAGGGATAAGTCGTTCACTTCAAACGTAACAAATTAAAAGCAACAGGAGATACACTGTAACGCTGCGGACGGCACATACTGACACCGGGAGAAAGCGGGCGAAAGCTCGCCTTAGCTAACCGAGAGCGGGGCGCTTACCGAGAACAGCATGGAGTAAATGTTGAGCGTGAATTTAATGCAGTAATAGTACCGGGTGCTGCTTCTCCATTCATAACACGGCGACATTTCGGTGCCGGTGACAAAATAAAAGTACAAGTAGACAGCCGCGGAACGGACTTCCACATCCCTCCCCGGGGATACCGCCTATCTGCCGGTTAGCCGGTTAGCGTGCTAGCCTATTACAGTACTAGCGGGTTAGCTTGCTAGCGCGTTAGCCTCTCTCTGCTTCCCAGAGCTAATGGCCAAATCGCCTGAATTAAACTATCCGTCGAATTAAAGTTCTGTCGCATCTCTTCGGTTTCCATCCATGTTGTCTTGAAGGGTTGTTTTATAATGTTTATTTTTTCTTTTAATTAAACCCTGTCGGCGGCGTGGGGACATGAGACCGCTATTGTTACGATCTGCGTCCAGCTATCCAGATAATACTAGTGCCAGAGTTCTGCTAGAATATTTTAAATACTACAATATTGCAATGAACGACATAAAACTAACTGCGGTTGAGTGTGACTGTTTAGCTAATCTGGTACCATCCAGAAAAATACACGAAATAGGAGCCAAATATGTGCCCCATACACAGGGGGAGACAAAGAGAGAAATGAGCTGAGGTCAGCCGCTTTCCTAATGCATGAGTGTGTGGTCAGTAGGGACAATCAAATTACCGAAATGCATGTCCCTGTACTGCACCCTGTAAGTTACCCTGAGTACCCAGAGTAAACTGATGAAACATGCAAACTGCACACACATACCCAACCGAGCAACTGTGTGCGATCCACTATAATGTGATAATATGCAGTCATTTTATAATCTCACCTTTACAGTTTCTCCTTTACCTTCTTATGCATTAAAATTATTATAATTATAATAATAATTTAAATAAACAATACTATTATACAATAAGTAGTAATGTTTTATAGACATAGATGTCTTAATGTCTCTTAGAAATCATATGAGGCTTAGTATTCCTGTTCATTGTTCCCCTTCTGCCTACATACTGTATATGTGAGGCAAAATACATAAACATGTATTGGGTTTTGGGGGTGGGGGGGGGGATCCCTCAGACACCTCTCATTTACAGAACCTTCCATCATTTGTGATAGGCAGTTAAATTACTACTTTGTCAAGGTTTAATTACTTGATTTGAGGACAAATTGAGATTGGTGCAGTCTCACAGAATCTGTTAGAAAAACTCAGAATAGCAAAGTCCTTTGTTGAGATTGTCATGAATATCAGGAAACTCCTTCAAAACGGTCAAGGTGCTCATTATGTGGCATAAAGTTTACATCTCAATTGCTAAATAATGCACATTTCTGTAGTTCAAACTGCTGGGTTTAAAATTTAGTACCTTTGCTTGCTACTGGAGCTGTACTCCAGAAATGGATTCTGAGGTACAAACAGAATTTATGTACCATCAATGGTACAGAAACGTTCCTCAGAATCCATTTCTGTACCTTCAAAGGTTACCCTTTTTTCTGAGAGTGGGCATGGTTAAAAATGGCTAAACTCATATTTAATAATGTCTGTCATTCTGGAGAGCTTCTCAGTCTTCAGATCCCAAGCAGCGACAGCTGCTGAATCCCTGTAGTTTTTGTACTGATTACTATATTTTTAATTGTCTTCATTTCTAATGAGAGTAGTGAATTTGGCAGACCTAGCTACACTGCCAGAAAAAGAGTACCAATTTGTACTTTTGCTTGTCACTGGGGCTGTACTTGCCATGGTCTGCCAATTGTACATAATAGCTGTAGGTAAATGTACTTTTAGTCTAACTTAATGTGCAGAAATTGACTCTGAGGAACATCCGCAAGGTACAAACAACATTAATGTACCCACAATGGTACAAAAATGTTCCTCATAGTCCATTTCTGTACTTTAAAAGCTACAATTTGCAGACCCTAGAGGGTACAGCCCCAGTGACAAGCAAAGGTACAAATTGATACTCTTTTTCTAACAGTGTAGGAAATGTTGTCAAGTAGGTGTCTACTGCTAACTCCCATATTACATTTACGGTAAATACATGTAGTTCATCTATCCATCTTCTAATCACTTGACCTGGGTATCTTCGGGGGGGGGGGCTGGAGCCTGTGGCAGGGGGCATAGGGCAAATGGCAGAGGTACACACACGCACACACACACACACACACACACACACACATAGCTGTACACCATGTGACATTTAGAGATACCGAATTACACATCTTTGGAGTGGCATGCTTTCAGCACCCCACACAGAGCAAAGCCAGAGCTTCAGATGGGAGGATTTTGTCTTCAATTAAGGATGGCAGCGTGGAAGCATGCAGCGGCCACTAGGTTCACTGAACTGTGCGAGGTTTTGTTTGTTTTTGTAGTTCTGTCTTGGGATTAACTCATTTTATTGTGCAAGAGCAGAGTGACAATAAAGTTGACTTTGACTTTTGAGCTGACCTCGCTTTGCATAAAATTATACGTGTAAACATGTCCTGAATTTCTGAAGTGCCATAATATTCAATAATGCATCACCATGAATAATGGATCTTTTTAATGGGAAGCCTAGGTTACTGTAAAAAGGTCATCTGGAGATGACCAGAGGAAGCAGGCAGGTACTGGCTGAGAGAGGGGGGGGGGGCAGACAGGATGTCAGATAAATGCCTGTTGGAGGCCATCCGTCTAGTGTTCTTTCTTCCAGCCCCCATCATGGAGTCAGGCTCTCACTGGACCACAGGCAACAAGGTCGATAGAAGAGTGTCTGCTTTGCATGCAATTTTCCTGTGTTCTGTTTATCAACATTCATTTTTCCTAGAGGGAAGGTGATTTCTTTGGTGAAGTCCCTTATTATTGTCAGACAATACCTTTTGAAGATCTCTGTTTTACCTGTAAGAAAGGCACCACTATGGGTTTTAGTTCTGACGTAGATTAAACATCGGTTGGTAGCATTTGCAACAACAAAATTAAAAACATGAACGCAATACTGCTAAAAAACATACCGAATGCAATGATTTAGGCCTTTTTCTGTGAGCATCAGTTTGAAGAATAAATATCAATGTCAGTGATTGGGGCTTCCTCCCGAAAGCTTCACATGCCGTGTCTGCTTCAGTCATGTCTGTTTTCCTTGGGACCATGATGTTCTGGTTTTTTTCCACACTTCTCAGTCCCTTAGCATGCCTGATTCTGTTTTTGTCCGCATCTTTTTCTGTACGTGGCTTCAGTTCTGTTCGTATCTCTGACCTTTCCTCGGCTGGACTGCGCTGATGTTGACGCCTGTCACCATGAATTGCTCCTCCTCCTTCTGTTCTGTATGCAGCAATATTGGCAATTTATTCTCCTGAATATCAAGGAACTCATCACATATTGAAACTGGACAAAGCAATTACAAAGCCCAAATAATTTATTGCCCAACCGATTGTTGTCGCCAACAACATCTGAAGCCATCATTTCCAAGCTGTTGGTTCAGTTCCTTATACAGCTTAATCTTCAGCTTTGAAACTTGACTAACATACCACCTTCTTCAATTTGGATGTGTTTATCATTCCTGCAGCCTGTTCAGTGTCTATGTTAGAAGAGCACCAGGACTGGGCTGTTTCAGAGGAACCGGCGCTGAGTGAAAATTGAATCAAAAACATCATGACATTAGGCTGGAAAATTCCGCTAATTTGTCTCCACGTGTCTGGGGCCACATTTATCCAGCACTTTGGCAATAACACAGTGATGTTTTATAGTTATATAATGATTCATTTGGAATACGTGGAGTGCCGGGATCTACTTTACAGAGATGGCACGTGTTGATTCCTCCTGCAAGATGAAAGTTCAGTTTAATAACCGATTAAATCTATGCACACTGAACGGCAGACTGAACACTTAGGGATTAGGTGACGACATCTGGGAGACGATTAGTGAAGAGATAGCAAATAACCGGCACAGCCAGATCCTCAGATTGGCAAAATTTACGTAAGGCTGCTAACAATGAGATCCACGAGACGGAGCACCGAGCACAGACGGGTATCGGAGAACATTCTGCTGTGGCTCTACTGAAATCAGAGCTGATCTGCAGGTGTGCCCCCCCCCCAGGACGGTGATCCTCATCTAAAAGTCCTCAGAGAAAACAAGGAGGCACACACAGAAATGAGTACCACACAAGCTTCTTCACCTGATTCTCACCACAGGACCAAGGAAGGAGAGGTACTGCCTCCTGTTGTAAGTAAGGGGAACCACTGAGCTTTTCACAGCAGCAATATAATCAGTACCCATTAACTCTGGGCATGTTTCACGGCCTGAGATGGACAGGTAATCAGCATGATCAGAATCCACGGCATCCCAGCCGGGCAGGGAGCCCAAGTCCCATTTAACATCATGCCTGAGAGTGTCCTTAGGTCCAGTCCTGCTGCGGCCATGCATGGCCTCACAGGATGTGCTGCCCGGCTTAACAAGGAACCCATTTAAAATCTTTAAGGACCACATCATAAGTGAACCACATTATTGTTCAGCCTTAAGTGTGCAGAATGCAAAAATTAAACAAATGTAAGCAAGCCTGCTGCCCACGGCCCATTCTACAGCTGGAACCATTCAAAATAATCTTTCACTTTACTTTAGCTAAAGACTACAAGGGCAGGGGGCCTGCAGGACGTGGATATCCTTAACCAACCTGCTGACCAGCCCAGCTGACCTGATCCGTTTACCTGTCTATCATGAGTAAGTACAAACACCATGGAATAAACTCACAAGCACATCAACGGGAATCACTTTATGTGAGTGAATACAGCTCGCAGATCTTCATAGCAGCCGCATCTCTGTAATTTATTTATTAAATTCCTCTGTTGCTGAATTGAGATCAGCCTATCATCCAGGCGTCTGAGGATTTGGCTGATGGGCAGATGCCGGCTCCCCCTTCCTCCTCAGTCCTGTGGCAGATTGTATTTCAGCTGGGGGACATTTGATGTGTGAAATTGGATTTTCGGCTGCACGCTGTCCACTCTGGGCTCCCGCTCCGGTTGTGGGGCTACGGTAACCATGCGGAATGCACATATTTTCAGACCGTCAGAGGCCTGCATATCTCGTCAGCAGTGAAACTGAAGGCCTCCCTTTAAGTAAACCCATTCCTTTTCCTTCAATAATAATAAATATTTCAAATATAACGGACATATTTTCCCTCGGTTAAAATAATTCAGTTTCCTCTGTAGAAAAGTCAGTAGAGTGTTGCTGATATGTCCTGAATGGAAGACGGCTTCACCCTGTATTGCACTGGGGAATATCAGTTTGTATTACCTCAATGTTTAAAACAGGTTTGTGGCGTCTATGACTGGTGTGACGTCTTCCATACCTGACATTGTTTAGAGAGCCTCAGATTTATGTTATCAGATTGCCTGGGTCTTTGTGCTTCAGACTGCAGCTGCCCAACATGCTCTGAGGCCCTTGCTTGCTGGGTAAGCCGTCTTCCATCAGGCAGCAGGTCAGCGAAGAGGCCTGCTCTCCAGAGAGGTGTGCACATCCACCCAGAGCCCCAGCTATGGGCACAGGGTGCTGGGCGGCCTGCCTCAGCCAGACCCACGAGCGGGGGAATGTTTCAAAAGGGTAAATGCTGATCTATCCAAGTAGCGATGGAAAAAGAAACATTCAACATAAATAGAGTGATTTTAGTTT